TATATAAATAAATAAATATGTATGCATATACATATATCTATACACAGGTTTGTCTGTGTAAGGAAAACAAATACAAGCACAAATACAATGCAAACAAAATATTAAACAAAATAAAAATAAAATGAATCATCTGCCTTAACATTGGTAATTTGGCAATTTGATTGAGCAACTGCAGTTGGGTATATATAAACGGGTACAGGGTAACTGCGGGTATATTGGCACACAACCAGTTAGCAGTGCATAATTATATATCTTTCTCTCTCTCTCTCTCTCTCACTCTTTCTTTCTTTCCCTCTCTAAGTTCTAACAGCACCGAGCAGTTAAGCAAATTTAAGATAGAAACCTACAAGCAAAGCTCGCGAATTGCCTAAACTTGTTATCCTAGCCGGGTCCTGTATGTCAGCGTGAGTGTGTGTGTGTGTGTCTGTGTGTATTTGTGTCTGTGTCTGTATGTCATTGTATATATATACGCGTAATTATGCATCGTATATTCATATATACGCGTCGAACTTATCTATGAGTGTATATTTAATAATATATCTTATGTGTATGCAATGCGCAGAGGCTACTCCTGCCATTCGTTCTCGTCGACACCTTCCATGTCATCCTGCTCCAACTTTGTGTTGTATTCCATACGCGCGCTCACCGACTTTTGGATCTGCAAGGTAAAAGACAAAGATAGAGAGAATGAATGAGAGAGCGCTAGAGCACTCACCTCCTGTTGCTTGTTGGTCTCATATTCAGATTTGTTGCCGAACTGCGTGTGCTCCGGTTTCTTGACTGGCGCTGGCACTTGCTGTATGGAGGACACTGAAAAGAATGAAGAGAAGTGAGAGAAAGAGACAGGGAGAGCGATAAGGGGGAAATGTAGGAAGTAGAGTGAATTAATATCTTTATGTTCAGCTAGCCGAGAGAAGGAGAGGAGTTGTTAGCAGTGGAAGAGTGAGAGGGGGAGAGAGAATGAGAGAGAGGGCAGTCACTTACGTGTATCCATGCCCTCCGGCTTGAGGCTGACTTTGGCTGCGCTCTTGTCGTTGCACGCAAACCAATCCTCAGCAGACAACGTGGCGCTCCATGTGACGCGCGTGGGTGGAAACAAATCATCCTGGAACAGTTCACTCTACAAAACAAGAAGCATATACATATCGTATATATAGGGTATATAATATATAGTATGTAAATGTATAACTAAATGTTACAATTGGAGATCTACATCGAGATCTAAATCTCTTGCTTTGTTTCACATTTATGTTGTACAGTGTTATTACACTGCACAGCCTAGCCAGTGATTTAGTTACCTTAATGCGTGGCACCGTAAAGCTAAGTGGCTCGATGGTTGTATTTGTCAGCCTATACGCCTTGGAGAATTCCACGCTGGCCACATCGCAGTGATTCTTGGTCAGGAAGCTGAGGCCCTGGTGCAGCGAGGAGCAACGATGGTGGGACAGCGGGCATATATATGGCTCCTCGTCGGTTATCTCATAGCAGTAGATGGTCGAGTCGCCCTTGCCGGTGACAAACAGCGTGGAGCTATCCTCATCGTAAAAGGGTATCAGTATTGATGGCGACACATCCAAACTGGCCGTATTTAGCGGTGCACTCAGCTTTTGTGCATTATACACGCTTATCTGACGCTCCGATACCCTGTAAGAATATACCAAAATATATACATATATATATACACGTATAACAGTTATCGCTCTGGTTCCACCCACTTGTCGAATCCGGTACAGACAATGTAGTGGCCCTCGAGTGCCCAGGTGATGCGTGCCCCGCGCGTGCCCACTGGGCCGTTGCCCTCGCGTATCGGTGTCTCGGACTTGCGTGGATTGTAGACGCGTATTTTGCCATCCTTGCAAACGCTGGCGCCCAGCTTGCCGCACGGACTCCAGGCGAAGTCGAATATCTGATCCGTGTGACCGGTGAGGATGCACTTCTCGGTCATGGTGCGCAAATCCCAGAGCTTGATGGTCATATCATAGCTGGCTGTCAGCAGCACATCCGCGGCGAGCGGATGAAAGCGTATGAAATAGATTTTGTCCAAATGTGCTGTCAGTTCGCCTTGCGGCTCATTCGTTGGCTCAGTCAGGCCGCCTTCATCGATGCGCCACAATTTGACAATGCCATCGTCGCAGGCCACCGCCAGACGCTGTGCATCAAACGGATCCCATTGGAAGTCCATTACATTGCTGCCATTCACCAGCGACGGGATGACTCCGTCCGGCAATCGGCCAGGGCGACTTAGCTCGAATATGGCAATTTTGCCGCCCGGCCCGGCGAGCGGAACAGCAACCCGTTCATGGTTGGCATGGAAGCCATTGCATTCGCCCGGTATCTGACGGCTCAAATTTCGCAAATTCTCAATGTGTGTGGACTTGTGGCCGGGCGTGCCCTTCAAGTGACGAAACTTGGACACCTTGCCGAAGACGGTGGAGGTGCGCTTTATGGATGCAGCACTGAACGCCGCCTCCATAGCCGACTTCTTTCCGCGATGCTCCTCCAATAGTTTGCCCTCGGGCACCGAGATGCGTTTATTCTCGATGCCGCTCGCCGGAATAACATTGCTGTTGCCGCCCAGCTGCTGGCTGGGCTTCAGTGGCTCCACCTTGGAGCTCTCGCGGCGACTAAAGACGAAGATTCAATTTCAATTTGAATGAAATATTGAGAATTTTGGCAAAAGCTACTCACAGCGGCACTGGGGATTGCGCCTTCTCATCCACCTGGCTTTTGGATCGACTCTCGTAGACGCGACGTCGCTCGGCAATGCTGCTGCGCACCGCTGAGAAGCGTCGCAAATCGGCATCGGTGCGATCTTCGCCCTCCGTTGAGTTCTCCGACGATTCCGAGTTCTGCTCGAATATCTAAATACAAATGGTTGGATACAAAAATATTTGGAGTGTGAGCAAAAATCTGAGATTCGAAGTAACAATTGAATGAAATCCTTTTGCAGACCTTATCTGATGATTCATCATCGTCAGCCGAAGACTAAAGTTGTTGTGGTTGTAGGTTGTTTGTTGTTTGTTGTTGCAGTTCGGTTTTAGGTAGGCAAGTAGTAGAAAGTAGCACAGTAGAAGTACACAGGTGCGGGAGTAGTTTTGGGTTGTTAGTCATAGCAGGTAACATGTTTTAATTGTTGTTCGATATTATTGTTCATATGTTTGTTGTTGTTTGTTAATACAAAATAGTAAACGAGAGTAGAAACGAATTTTGGCACAGGCATGTAAGAGAGGTCAAGAGTTGAAAAGATTACTCAAGTGTGGCCGTAAGCATAAAAGACAATACTAACTAATATACACATGTATATACATATACATATATAAATATATCTCTGTAAATTACCTTGCGACGCTCCGATGTTGTTAATGACTTCTGCACGCCATTTCCATTGCCGTTGCCGGCCACATTTGGTTCGCTCTCTAAAAGAGAGTGAGAGAGAGAGAGACGGAGAGATTAGTCATTTGCTGCACTCTTCACTCGCTGTTTGACTTACTTTGAATTTCGATTTCTACAATGAGATCGGGCTTGCTGCCACCTGCTGGCGCATCACCGCAGTTATCCTGTCCAACCGTTGATATATTCTCATGGGAGCCCGGCGCAACGGGCACGGCGAACACCTTATCGAAGGACACGTCGCCCGTGTTGCTAGAGAAGGGCTTCGGGCCAAGCCGTGGCTGTGAAACAAAGCAAATTTGAGTTAAGAACAGGAAATAAAATAAGAAAAGCTTGCATAAAAATTACTTAAATTAAAAAAATAAAATATAAATCAAGCAAAGCTATAAAAATAAATTACTTTCTATAACTGAAACAATGGATTGAAACATTTAAAATATTATACACAAAATGTAGCAAAAATTATATAAAAATAATATAATACTAAAATTACAAAATTAATTAATTAAACAAAATTATGCAACAGCTGAAAAATAATATTTCACTCTCTATAACTGAAACAATGCAATGAAGTGCCAAAAAAAAAACAGTACACAAACATTAAAAAAATACTAGTCTAATAAATCTAAATCATTAAAACTAAGCATTTTGTTGAAATAAATAAATGCTAATACAAAAAATAATGCAAATAAAACTGAACAAATCTGGACTTTGAGGCTTCACTGTGGCACCTTGTAGGCGGCTGCTGCAGTTGTGCGTGGCCGTGGGCGTGGCGTGTTGCACTCTGAATCGCCGCCGCTGCCCGACTGTGGCGTTGTTGACTCCGGCAGCGAATTGTTGCGCGAGGTGCGCGGCATCGGCTTCGGCGGCGAGTGGCTGCCGCTTGGCGAATTGGTGTCCAGTGCAGCCGATGAGGAGGCCTCCTCACTGCTGCCCGTCGAGTGCTCAGTGGGCGAGTCCTTGTCATCCAGATGGTGGTGCAGCTGCTGTGCCTGCTGATCCTTCTCGGAGTCTGTCTTGTATTTGGCCTCAAATTTGCGTATTAGCTCGCTCTGGTTCAGGCTGCACTCCTCCTTTGGCTGCACTTTGGCCTGATGCAGGCGCTTCTCATTGCAGTCGCTGGCATTCCCATTGCCATTCCTCTCCTCGCCGTTGTTGCACTTGCGCAGCATCACGAAATGCTCGTTGTCGTTGCGCTTGGCCATCGATGTGGTGGCGGGCTTTTGATGTTGATTCTGAGTCTTGCCCTTGGCCTTCAGGTTCTCAAGATTCTTAACGAAATCGCTCAAATTGCCACGATGTATCTATGTGTGTGTGTGTGTGTATATATATATATGTTATATATTGTATATTGAGTTATTGTAGAGTTCTATTCCCACAACTGTGATTACCTTATGCATATGCATTCAATAATTCACATTTCTGCTTAGGTTCCACTTAGGTTCCACATTAACTTAAGTTGCTTAATTTATATATTTAAACATATATGACTTTAGTGATTATATTCTTAAACAACTATATTCTTACATTCACAATGGATTTTTTCCATAACAACTATATAAGCACGTATTCTTCCAACATAAATATATAGTATTGCCTACCTGTTTGTTGTCATTTATTTAGATTTTCTAGAGTTTAAATTTTATATTTCACTAATATCATATTATTTGCCTAGCGCCCAATCTTATCAAATTCCCAAATTCTATAGTTGTTCTTTATACTTAACGATAAGCCTATATCTACATATGTGTATACAAAGTATACGACTGTACGCAGTACCCCAGAAGCAATAACTCAAACTTTTTAAGCTTGATGATTTCTATATATATGCATATAAATACATATATATTATTACTTACGATAATGGGCTCATCGCCATGCTCGCGTTTCGCTGGGTCCAAATTCATTTTGGGCACTGCCTGATTGGTGCCATTTAGCCACTCGCTGGCAATTAGCTCCGTCTTATAGCCCGTTGTTTCGGGATATAAATCCGCATGGAAATCGCGATAGGTCTAATAGGATATATTCCGCACATTAAACAAGATCATATTTTTTAAAATGATTTTTCTCTTACTTTGCGTGGCACCTGGTACATGATGGGTATGACCATGTTGGAGGTAAGCTGAAGCACACGATTTACCTCAGCCTCCATCACTTTGAGGGCACGCTTGGGCACCAGGCAGGCGCCTTTGGTTTGTTCGCCGGTATGCCTAAGTCCTTCGATTAGATAGGGATCCTTGTCTGTGATCTCCAGATAGTTGATGGTCGTATCACCCTTGCCAGCCAGGAACAGCATGTTCGTATCGGGATCGAACAGCGGCATCAATATGCCCGTCGAGCAGTCCAGCTCCAGTGTCTTTTCGGGCGTATTGAAGTTGCGTATATCGCGGATGATCACTTGACGCAAACGGGCCGCATCGAAGCCGGTGGTCAAGATGCGCGACTGGTTGCCCAGCCAGACGACACGCGAGTCCTTAATGCTCTGATGCGACTCGGCCACCATTTGTATGGGCGAGCCGGCGGCACGTGGATCAAAGATGCGCACACACTTATCCTTGCAGCTGGTGGCCAGGACAGTGCCATCCTCTCGCCAGCTGGCCGATTGAATTACCTCGGGATGTTCATTGTTAGCTGGGAGAGAAGCACGTGTCAATTAGCTTCAGTTACAATTCGAATGCCCAAGTTTTGTGCTACTCACAGAAGATTTCCTTTTGGGCCGCAATATCGAAGAGCGCCACACAGCCAGCCGCTGTCGAGTACATTAGACCATCGGCTGTGGGATGAAAGCCGACGGTCTCTACGCGGCGCTGCTTATGTGAGAATACAGCCTCCGGGTCAGAGAGCGATTGTTCGAGTCCTTTTTCGGGTATGTGCCAGATTTTGACCTGCAAGTGTCAAAATATTCGATAGTTGAGTGAGACTTTCGTCTCAAATAGATCGATCTTCCACTCACCAGGCAATCCTGCGATGCCGTTGCCAATAGTCCATCATGAAAGGGTGAGAATTTCAAGTCTGTCACTGTGTCCGTATGGCCATGCAGCAATGGCATTGTCTTGCTTTTGCGGCCGCAATCATCGAGCGGCAGGACAGCAACACTGGAGCCGCTATGCTCCCAATTGAAGGCCATGAAGGCAGCGGATGCGGCAATATTATTGCCATAGGTTTGATAGCTGCCCACGCATATTTCGCGTACGCAAGCCTCCGCTTTTGGGACAATGGGCGCGGCATTTTTATACTTGGAAGCCTTAAAGCGCCAGGCCATTCTGTGTGTCTGTGTGAGTGTGTGTGTGCTGCAGGTATGCGTGCGTGTGTGGCGATTGCAGTTGGTCTGCTTGATTCGCTGCTACCGTTAGCGATCTCTCACTTTTCCAATTCGAGAAGACGAGTTCCGCACAATTCGCTCACTGGCTTAGTTCTCTCCTCTTTCTTTCTTTTTTTTTTCTATTTCTCTTCGTCTTTCCAATTTGATATTTTCTGTTGCAATTGTTATTTATTTATATGTTCGACTGCGGTCCGCACGGCTACAATTACAAACATGAAATTCTATTATTATTATTATGATTATTGATAACTTAAGTTATCGAAGCCGGCCACTTCTGCAGCCGTACACCCCACATGAATCACCCTGTCAGTGCAGCCGGGCGATGGCACGGCTCCTAGCGGGAGTTGTGTATGAGGTGTTTGTTGTTTGCATTTATTTTTTAACTTGAGCACAGTTATATATAAATTGAAATGAAGTGCTCTATATTATGGCAGCAGCAGTACATCAATTACATTCAAAAACAAAATTTCTCTTTTGCTAAATAAACATAAAGTTTCACTTAGCGAGCGCTTGCTGCATGTAAATCAGACAATTCTTAGCTTTAAGGCCAAACCAGAAAAGAATTTAGAGCTTTTCAAGCTAAACTAGCTGCTTTCCGATCAAAGTCCGGCAGCACTCGCACGCAGCGCAACGCACAAACAGGCGCACACACATATCAATTGATAAGCTGTTGTGTGATATGATGTTGCTGCCTGATGACTGCCTGGCACGCCCACACTTGAGTCGCATTACTCACACAATAAGTCAGATGAGCAACAACAACAATAGCACAAGCAACAGCCCATACACAGAAACTTGAAGTGCGGCAAGAATGGAAAAATGGAAATGGACAACTGGGACTTGGACTCGTCTGTCTGCTAATGTTGTTGTTGTTGTTGTTGTTGTTGCTGCACTTGGCTATAATTATTGAGGACTTGCACACTCTAAGTGTGCATACATATATAGATATATGCATACATATATATGTGTGTGCGCCTTGTTTATCGCATAAAAAGAGAAAGCACAAAAAAAAAAAAAAAATAAGCAGCAGCAACAATTGCGTTTGCGTCTGCGATGCGAGGAGAATGCCAAATGCCGATTGCCACAGAGATGCCGGATAGGCTTAAAGCATACACACATACATATGTACATATGAGTGTGCATACACGTATATGGGTGTATGTGTATGTGTGTGTGTGTGCATGCCTTGTCCTTTTTCCGCTTTAGCTTTACATGCATACAAATTGTGGTAATCTAGGTGTTGGCCACTTGTAAGCGCCTTTTATAAACAAGTGCCACGCCTCATTAAAAGCCTAGACCAGAATGTGTGTGTGCGTGTGTTTTTGAATGGCTCATTGCAATTACCTTAACTGCCCTTCATAAATTAAGCTCTGCTTTTAGTTCCACTTAAATTCTGACTCTATCTCTAGCTGTTACTAACTACTAATCGCCTTTCAGCAATAATAGTTAAATCATGATTCATACGCAAGCTGAAGACATTAAGAACTAAGAGCTCTATCGAAATTTGCGCATGATTCATGACATTACGAATATTGTGGAATATAACATAACAACATAATAGATATGATCAGAATTCATTATATACATTTAGGCCTATAAGTATGTAAATAGCCCTAAATACACTGCTTAAGCGGATTTTTATGAGCACAATTATAATAATATTAATTATACAAATTGCTCTATTATAAGACTTTCAACGATTTTATTATAAAATTATCGTTTTAATTTATCACATCTGTCTATAAACACTTATTTCAGTCTATGTCTAAGCAAGAAAAAGCCGAATATTTTTTCCGTTATATTTGCGACACTTGGTAGAACACAAACATAAAAAATATATATCAAAGTGGACTTTGTTCAACGTTTTTGTTTTAAATAAATATATTTTTAATAACTGCACTTATTTGATTTAATTATTAATTTTTTCTGATTTTTTTATTATTATATTTTGTCCTTTGTCTTTCAAGGTTGCTTAATTATGGTCCACTCTAAAGGCGAGACAGTTTGCCTGTCTTCGAGTGTTTGTCACTGACACACACATACACGTACACGTACACGTACACACTCACACTCGACATTCAAATGGAATTGCAAAAGCAAAATGCCATGAAGTTTTGGGGTTCAAATCTCAGCAAGTGCCTCCAAATAGTTGATCGAGCACTTTTCTCTGGTAATTGAATTTATATTCTTCTTTTTATTGTTATTTATTTGCGATTTTTGTGTGTTTTCTTTCCACTTTGTATTTGTGTGTATTTGCACAGAGCCGCAACTAGCGGTTAATTTCAAGTGCAGCCAGCGGGGCTAGCAATGTACAACAACATCAACAATAACAGGCAGACGGCAACTGGAGCTAAATGTATTGACAAACGCCGCAACAGCGGCAGCAGCAGCAGCAGCAGCAGCGACAACAACAACTACAGCGAGAAGAAGTAGCAGAAGAAGAGACACAGTTGCGCTCACTTGACGACGCGTGCGCAAATTCAACTGGTTCGTTAGAAAGCGGCAAAACAAATGACCATCATTGGCTGTTGACGCTGCCAGCCTGCTGGACTGGATGGCTGGCTAGCTGGCTAGCTGGCTGCTGTTGGTGGTGCAGATGGTGGTGGTGGTGATGGCGGTGGTGCAGCCAGCCACCAGGTAATCGGGTCAAGTGATTTAGAAATATATAGAAAAAGAAAACTGCGCGCAACTGAGCGGAAGTTGGGTGGCAGCAGCGGCGATGGCGACGGACATTGGCGAAAAAGGGAATTGGAAATGAAGCTGAAACAAGTGCACAGAGCAATGCATTGCAACCTGCAGGAGAGCAGCAATAACAGCAGTATCAGCAGCCGTAGCAGACAGCGGGAGACAACATTAACGGCAGCATCCGTGCTGCAGTTGCGAGAGAGAGAGTGTTAACGAGTGAGCGCGACAGAGTGAAGCTGCGTGCGTGTGTGTGTGTGTGCGTCTGGGGGTCTCTCTCGTTATGGCTACACAGGGTGTGTGTTTGTGTTTGTGTGGGTGTTCGTGTGAGCGGGTGCAACCGTAAGAAACTTTGTTGGGGGTGGGTGGCAACACCGGCACCGGTAAGCCGGCAACGCTTTGAGCTACTGTTTTACTGTTTTTTTTTTTCTTCTTCCTTTCTTGCTGCTTCCCACCACTACACAAAGCGCAAGCAGTTAGAGTGAGAGAGCTAGATAGTAAGCTGGATTGAGAGCAGGGAAAGAGCGGACGGGGTATAAGGCACAAGTGGCCTCCTGGTGGTGGTTCCGTTACGTGTTTGTTGTTGCATATGCATTTATTGACATTTTTCTTACTGCGTTTGTCATGCACTTAATGCTTGTTACTATTTTTTTTGTATACTATGTCAAATGCGTGCAATTAATTAGGCGGTGTTTATGCACAGCACAAAAAAAAAAAAAAAAAAGCCGACTTCACGCACTGGCCATGGCCGACGATGACGATGACTACGGTGAGTTGGCAATGAGCAAAAAAAAAAAAAAAAGAAAACACAAAACGGATGTGAATGTAAAAGGAGCCGCTGCTTCTGGTTTTCCACTGGCTTGTTTGTTGTTGTTGTGTTCAGCCGGCACACACCCTTTTTAGCACTGGCGCCGCTGGGAGCGACACTACAACTACAAAACAAGAAGGAGGAACAAGAACAGCGCAGCCGACGCTGCGTTCTGGGCAAACAAAGGAGCAGTTTTGCACCCGATTCATATACACGTACACTCATACACTCATACTCGCACTTTCACACACACACTCAAACACATACAGGAAACATGCAAAAATTGAAATGTTGCACACACAGACACACTTACGCAGGGTGGACTATAATTGAACAATGCAATTGCATTCGCAATAATAAAATGAATCACAGCACATTAAACACTTTAACACTCACAATTTTATTTGGCACGCCCTTTCGACCAATATCCCGCAACTGCACAATTTCTTTTAATTTTTGTATAAAAAATGTTGCATCGGCTTTTTTCGGTGCTGTATTGCCCGCTGTTTCACACAGACATCGATGAGTCGATGTTATTTTTGTTATGTGCATCGATGTATCGACTTCTTGTCGATTACCGATTAGCAAGTGTTGAACTTACACATCAAGTCGTGACACGATGAACAATGGCGCGAAAAAACTTTGGAATAAGAAGCTAAATGGATCGGTATACACTAATTTAGTTTCTGTTCCAAAAGTTAAATTTTGATGATTTGTTTTTCTGAAAATCATAATTTATACATTGTTACTTCTAAATGCATTCCACTGTGTACAAATGTAATCGGTTTCATCAGGCTCATCGATATGTTTTTTACGATAACTGACAGAACACTCTCACCTACTGCTTAACGTGTACTGTATTTATCAGGTGAAGCATTTTAAAGTTTCCAAGCTAGACTATGTAATGGAAATATTTTCAATGGCTATGGTGAAATTCTTTCTTGAACAATGTACTAAAAAACTGCTCGGCAGTGTGACCATACTAGTCGTGGTTATCTATGCTGGCACTGCGATAAGTCGCAATTACAGGGCTACAGTGGAATAATGATTGAGATGCCCTGTCAATTATGTATCGATAGTAACGTAACGATAGTGCCATCGATTGCTTTGCTGCTCTAACTGCTGCAGCAAACTGTATTATTTTTTTTTTGTTATTTATTAAATGAAGTTGAATTAAGTTGATTGCTTTGCAATGTCAAAGTTAATGTACAACCTGAACGCGACTCATCGCAATTACGCATTGTGATAACGTGAAAGTAACGTAAGACGCGAGCGCTTGTGCTTTGCGGGTGTGCGTGTGTGCCAAGTGTATGTGATTGTAATTCTTCGTATGTGTATGTGTGCGTATGCGTATAATTTCGGTGTGCGGCTGCAGAAGGCAACGACACGGCGCGCCGCTGGCCAGCCTCAGCACCAGCACCAGGAGCAGCAGCAGAAGCGGCACCAGCAAAATACAACAAAACAAATTCAATGCTGTCAACAGCTAAGGAAAACAAAATGAGCCTCTTGCATAAAATAGGTGAGTTAAAAAAACGAGATAAGGAATATTTATAGAGCCTTAAGTTTTTGTTATTCCCATGACCAACACCTGCAACAACAGATTAACTTTATTTATATATGTATGTGTATGTATATACACATAACACGGCGGCATCAGCAGCATATGCATGTGTGTATACATGTGTATGTACATATGTGTGTGTGCTTGTTAATTCCTGCAAATGATTCACAATAAGCACGCACAATAACAACAACAACAACAGTTAGACAAAAGCTACAATCCTGTTTCTTAAATCCCGTTGACTTTGCCCACCCACACTCACAAACACACATTAACGTCTTCGTTGGCCCAAAATGTGCATTCGGTTTATGCCGTTGGTTTATCAACAAGTCTATTTTTAGTGCCTGCGCCTCGCAAAGTGTTAAGACTGAAGTAGCCCACGAAATGTGCCTGTGTGCGTACATCCGCATCTGTATGTGAGTGTGCTTCTGTATATGTGCATATATACATATGTATATATAGATGTGTATGTGTGTGCAACGCAACGGAACACGCCCAGCGCAAGCCGCCTGTTGGCTTCTGACGCCGCCGCCGCCCACCTCCAGGAACTCCTTAGGCTGCATTTTATTTTAATACTTCTTCCATTTTTCTCAATTTTGTTTGTCCCTCCGTCTCGCTCTCGCTCTCACATTCATAGCGCCCCTAGCATTTGCTTTCTATGACGCGCGTTTAGCGGCCCATTCGAATTCACTGGAAGGATATTACAGACTTTGATTCGCAGAATCAAGTTGCATTTGAGAATGCATGTGAAAGTTGGTTAGATTTCTAGTTAAACGGCTAAAGGGCCAGAGCTTTTACAGCTAACGGCGAACTTATTAAACCGATAGGAAATTGAGCAATCCAGAGCAGTTTAACCGTTTAACAGTTTAATGTTTCGGCAAGTTTTGACCTGGGTCAATTACATCTAATTGGCAGGTGACAAAGATGAGCACTGATGGGCGATGTGCGTGACACGAAAATTCGAATTTCACGAAAATTAAATTTAAATGTGGAAAATATTAGCTAAGTAGAAATTAAAAATTAAAAAAAAAAAAAAAAAATTAAATAGAGTTAGTTGGAACTTTAAATAGGGTATATAAAATGTCTGCATTTATATATGTATGTATAATACGAATTATTTAAAATATTGGTAAAAATAAAAATATATACCTGTACTTATTTACTCATACATAATATGTATATACATATATGAACATATGTATGTACTCGTACATGTGTTTGTCATGTACATATGTCAAAGCCAACCCGCACTCATCTCTAATGCAAATATTCAATGAGCCGGCAACGTTACCTCGCCTGGTATGAGGCGAAGGTCACGCACAGCTGCCCAGCTAATGTTGCCAGATTATTTACACAAATTGCGAGCGGCTAAGGCAAACAAATTTACATGCTTTAATGTTATATCAAAAGCTTATCAGTTAAGTGATAAAAGCGCGATAGGACGAGCCAAACAACCAACTAATCAGCCAGCCGCCCACTCTCCCACCTACGCGCACAAACAGACGCACACAGCAACAACTGTCCAAAATGTCCAAGGTCATTAGGGATATTCCGGTTGCAGCTAACAAAAAAAAAAAAAAAAAAAAACGAAAAGGCCAATTGTTGATAGCTAACGACCCGCCGGTCGCCCCCTTCAAGCTGAGCCTAGCATGCGCTCAAAATAGAAACAAAAAAGCTTTTCAACTCTACCAGCAATTACCATTAATCAAGTCACAAAGTTATCGATAGATAAGCAACGTCTTATAAACACACACACACACACACACACACACACATACGCAGAGGGATATGCACATACATAGAAATGAGCTCCAAACCTCCCTTGCAGGGTTTGTTGCCGCTTGCCTGGGTAAGTTAACTGTAAGTAAGCTTTCATACTTTTGGGCTTTCGACTTTCGGCCTTCGAGCTTTTTGGCCGAGTCAGTTTTTGCGCGCTTTTCTCCCTTTTTATTGTTTGTTGTCCGTGCAAAGTCTCAGACGTTAGCAGCCGTCGCAGCGCGCGGCTTGCAAAAAGTAAGTAGTTTACTTTACTTTTTTTTATTATTATTATTATTTTGTTGTTGTTGTTGTTTTTGTTTTTGATTTGATAAGAACTCTGTTTGATAATGTGGCGACAAAGGCGACAGCAAAATGTTAAGCGCTGATCAATGCGCTGTTCGCCAGTGTTAAATAGTGCTAAAAATAGCTGTTGCCCTTTGGTTCTGAATCGTTTTCCAAAACTATATGTGACTTTCGAATAGTTGCAAGTTTTCCAGAATTGATTGATATGTGAGTGTTTATCGTAGGTTGTTGGCGTAACTTGATCTTGAAAACTGAATAGCTTTTCATGTAGTTAACGGTAATAGCTATTGATCTAAACATCCAGCTGAAACCGTTTTAAATGGCATTACATATAATCGAATTAAATATCTAAGCAAACTTCCAGTGTTGCAGAGTGCGATGAAATGTGGAACTTAAGCAATTGCCCGGACAGATGATCTGTGGAGTTTTCTATTACACTTTTGGGCTCAAATGTAAATGTTATAAAACATTATCAAGTTTCAAACCCATTTAAGAATAATCTAAACAAAATGTGTAAAGTGGAGAACTTAAGCAATTGCTCGAGCAGGTGATCTGTTAAGCTTTTGATTGCATTCACTCAAGCTGTATACCTTAGATATTTCGGAGTACAGGGTATACAGACAATAGGCATAACAACACCAGCTACTGCAGTAAAGACAACAAAGCGTCGCATCATTCACACACACACACACATGCATACACACATATGTATAGGGCAAAAGAGAGCAGTTCATTGAAAGTGCAAATGTAGTTGTTGTTGTTGTTGCTGTTGCTCAGCGGGCCGTATGGCCGCCCATTGGCCGCGCGATTAGATTGTAAAAAGCGGCAGCAGCAGCGACGGTGACGGTGACGGCGACGGCGACGGCGGCGCTCGCTCACTCAGCACGCTCGCAGCTCCACAGCGCTGCTGCTCAGTTAGTTAGTAAACAGACAGACAGACAGTCAGTCAAGTCAATTCAGTTAGACTCACGCGAAATATATATATTTACAAACTACACCGCAAAAAAAAAAAAAAAAAAAGTAGCCGTAGCAAATTAAAATAAAGTAAACGCGCACTCAACCTCGCCCCGTGATGATATCATCCGATTGTAGTTAGGGGTAGGGTAACGACCACCCCCCGGGCGCCGCTGCTGATCCTCAGATGTCGCATCAATAAATTGCTTCTTGAGCTTCTTCCTCTTCTTTAAGCGATTTTGTTTTACTTTTTGTTTTTGTTGTTCTGCTTGGGAATGTGCAAAGTGAATTAGTGCCGATAGTCGATTGCAAATCGTTTACTCATCTCTAGTGCTGCAAAAAAAAAAAAAAAAAAAATTAATTAAATAAAAAAAATCCATTTGTTACATTTGAATTGGATCGTGCATCGATGCGCGTTCTAAACACCGAGCTGCGCCTGCGCTTTCAAAAGCGCAAGCCGCGTCCGTTCAATCGCGCTGCCAGCGCTGATGACGCGTTGCCAGCGACTGAGGCAGAGGCAGAGGCAGAGGCAAAGGCAGCGCACGAGCAGCGGACTAACGGAACTGTCAGCATGCGTATGTATCAATAAATGAAGGAATGTGCGTACGAGCGCCCGTACGTATGTGTGTGTGTGTGGGCGTTAATTGATAAGTTGGAATAACTTTGACCTTGACAGCTGCGGATCGATAAGTGTGCCCATAGATAAGAATGTAATTATTGCGTACGATAGACGTCGAATTGCATTTAACGTGAATTGTTAATTCATTAATTACTTATTAAGAAAATAGGGCTTAAAAGGGGTAAGATGAGATAAGAGAGAGAAGAGAATTTGATCACTGCAATTTATCGTACATAATGATGTATATAAATATTATATCAGATAAAAAATTCACGTAGAGCAAGATGAAATTTGATTAACAATTCAATTATTGATTAATTGTAATGGAGAATATTTTATGAATGTA